TACTGGAGAGGATCTGCCCTGCCATGGCTGTAGACCACTTTGTACATGCGTGTCGGCCCTGGCTGGCTATGGCGTTCCTCCAGTCCTCGGTTTCCTTACTGAACTCGGATCTACTCTGTTATTTCACTTTTTAAGCTTAGCGAGAGTCTCCTATTAAAGTTTCCAGCTGCTGTTGTAGAACTCAGATGACCGACTTCATTTCTGGTCGCTCTTGAGGAACACGTCCTGAGGGGCTGAAGCAAGGTGCATCTGGGGATAGAGCCGCTCGCCGTCCTGACGCAGGCAGTGACATCTTGTCGCTGTGCCGTCCCGTGGCGTCCACCCTTGCAACTCCACGAAGCCCCTCCTGAGGTTTCCGGCCTGACCGCATGTGTTTCGCTTCCGTCAGTACTCACAAAGCGACACCGGTGTGCCCGTCCCTGAGAGGGGCCCACGCGTGCCCACTTCTGCTCCCTTCAGGACTTCGTTGCGCTGCTTGGCCCAGGTCCGGTTGCTGGCGCGTTCTCCCCAGTGCTCTGTCCTCGTGCCCGAGGACACCGCCGGGGGCAGACCCAGCTCGGTGCTCCCTTCTCCTTTCAGATAGTGAAGATACGATCCAGTGTCTTCTGGCCTCCAGCGTTTCCACCAGGAAGTCCTCTGCCAGTCTCTTGGAAGGCACTGTGTCTCTTTTTGGTCGCCCTCTGACTGTTCCACTTTTCTCTGCCTTTGGATTTCAAACTTGTTGTGTTTAGGCACGGTGTTCTGTCATGTCCTTTGCACCTTGGGTCAATGCCCTGTCCATTTAAAGTGCTGGTCTAGTTTATTTCCTAGAACTTGACTGCCCTATTCACACATCTTTCCTTTTAGGATTTAAACCATTTTGCACCATGTCCCTTATGTTTAGTGCTGTTTCCTCGACTTTACCCCATCCTTTCTCCAAGTAGAGCCTTGGTACTTCCTTGCCTCCCACCCTTCCCTATCTCTTTGGTATGGTTAATGTGCTGTTCAACTACCTGCTCTGTTTGAAATTCACTTACTGTGTTCTTCATTTCTAGAATTTATGTTTATTTTTTTTTTATGGAATCACTGTTGTCTCTGAAATTCTCTAGCTTTCCCCAGTTTTCTTGAGAAAAAGAAATCTGTCAGTCCACCGCTGAAAAGCCAGACATCTAGGTCCCCTGCACACCTGCTTCTGTTGCTTGTTTTTCTCTTGGCCCTGTGTCAGTCACTCCTGTCTTGTAGTACGCCTAGGAACACCTGGCTGAATGCAAGACCAGTGGAGGAAAATACAGAGATCATTTGAGTCTTGGTTGATGCTGCCTGACTCCAGCGAGGATGAACTGTGGTTTCCGGGGGACAGGAGTGCCACGGGAAGGTCACCCGAGTTCAGCCTGAGCTGAGTCAGAGATGGTGCTGGTCTGCTTTGCTTTCTTGCCAGTGCCCAGCCCTTCACTTCCGTTCTGGGTTTGCAACCCAAAGCCTGGGTGCTTAACCGGAATCCCCCGCCTCATCAGGGCCTAAGCTCTGACTTCTTGTCTTCCATTCTGAGAAAAGGAACAGCTCTGCTCAGCTCTGAGCCTCAGGGCTGTGTCCTGGGAGTTGAAAGGCCCTCCAGGGGGAAATGTGCAGGAGCGGAAAGGCAGTCCTTGCTCCTTCCCTGCCAAGCCTTGGTCTCTGGTGTCTGCCCTGAGCTTCCTGCTGCCTCTGTGAGGGATTCCTCTGTTAAGCCTGTGTCCACATTGCTCTCTGCCAGACAGCCAGGCCGATTCAAGCCAGCTGCCCACCCGTGGGAGCACAGCTTGGCGAGCATTTGCACCACACAGAAAAGCCTGGCCCAAAAGAATCACTTCAGAACTCAAACATACCCTTCCGTAATTTCTTTCAAAAAAAAAAAGGCCACTTTTTTCCAGCTATTTTTGTCCAGATCTATTGCATGTCAGGCACCATTTTAGGCCCTTGGAGGTGGTGTGGTCAGCAGGAGAAGCAAGCGTCCAGCTCCTGGGATGGCTCCATGTCTAGGGGAAGGCGAGCAAGAACAGGATCGGCAGAGACCTGCAGTCAGAACAGCTCAGAGCCACCGAGAAGAAGGCCAGGGATAGGGCACCGCCTTATCTGTCACCGGCCCTCACCTGCAGCGCTGGCCCTTAAAAGCGGGCCATATTCTGTACCCCAAGCAGGCAGGGCTGAATTCCTGCTCCAGTCGGAACCCGCAGGTCTTGCCTCCCCCATGAAACATGCATGGGCCTCGGGGACATTGTGGAAGGACACAGCCTTCCTGCCCTGAGTCTGTCCTCCCTCCCGCGGCACCGTGTCCCCTGCAGTGGTGGGGATAGGTGCGGGGGAAGGCAGGGCAGCCGAGCTCGGCCTCACTGCGTCTGGCGTCAGAGTCTCTGTGGCTGTCGCCTGGCTGTGGCTTCTGCTCCTGCCTGTGAGCCGGGACCCATGTTAGGGGCAGACGCCTGGACAGGGTTGGGGGTTCACTGCTGTAGCCACTGTGTGTTCAGAATTGGAACCCACACCCTCTTCTGACACCTAGGCCGTTTGGGGCAGGGAGTGGCAGCCGTCCACGGGGTCCTCACTGGCTCACCCTAGAAGGCCCGGAGGGAGAAGGGCTGTCCTGGGTGTTAGCACCATCTGTAGAACAAGGCATAGGTTTCAGCTCTGCCAGGTTCAGGGGGACAGAGGAAGTCCCACCTCAGGCCACAATGCACATCTTATTCTGTACTGACAGGCACGTGTGTGCTTTGTGGGTAAAGATGGGGAATCCGGATCCACACTGTGACTGGCTGAAGGGTGGGACTTCTGGAGATATCATCACGGCCACCGATGGGGCAGAGGCTCCTGGACCTCCTCCGTGCCACGTGGTGGGCGTAATCTGAGACAGACACTGAGGTGCCCACGGCGGAGCCGGGCTGCGGCAGCACCCAGGGGAAGGGCTGGCAGGGAGAAGCTGGGTGCCTAGGACGAGAAGAGGGCAGAGAGAACAGGAGGCGGCCCGGGGCAGGCGAGGCTGCTGGGCGGTTCCAGCCAACACCGGTGCTTCTGGTGGTCAGAACCTGGACACCGCACCAGGATGCTGGCCCCGCGCCACCCCAGCCCTCACCACTCCCGCACCCCATGGGCCCGGGCCTGCCATGCCTGCTCCTGGACAGACGCTGGGGAGATTAACGAGCCGGACACACGGAAAACAAACATCGTGATGACAGCAGGAGCCGGTCACCAACAAGGAAGGGAAGGCTGGGACGCAGGGCCAGGGAGGGGGATAAAAGCCCAGAGCCCAGCACCTCACACACACCTCACTCACACTCACACTCACACTCACACTCACTCCCAGCCCAACCCCGCCATGGCCGCCTCCACCATGTCCGTCTGCTCTGAGCCCTGGCAGGTGGACGACTGCCCAGAGAGCTGCTGCGAGCCCCCCTGCTGCGCCCCCCTCTGCTGCCAGCCCAGCTCCTGCGCCCCGGCCCCCTGCCTGAGCCTCATCTGCACCCCAGTGAGCTGTGCGTCCAGCCCGAGCTGCCAGCCGGCCTGCAGTTCCTCCTCCTGCCAGCCGTCCTGCTGTGAGCCTGTGCTGCCAGCCCAGCTCCTGCGCCCCGGCCCCCTGCCTGAGCCTCATCTGCACCCCAGTGAGCTGTGCGTCCAGCCCGAGCTGCCAGCCGGCCTGCAGTTCCTCCTCCTGCCAGCCGTCCTGCTGTGAGTCCCTGTGCTGCACACCCATGTGTTGCAAGCCTGTCTGCTGCACACCTGTCTGTTGTACGCTTGTCTGCTCTGATGCTTCCTCCTGCTGCCAGCAGTCTGACTGCCAGCCAGCTTGCTGCTCCGGCTCCCCCTGCCAGCCGTCCTGCTGTGTGCCCATCTGCTACAAGCCCATCTGCACGCCCTCCTCCTCCTCCTCCTGCGTGTTCCTGCTCTGCCGCCCCGTGTGCAGACCCACCTGCTGTGTGTCTGCCTCCTCCTGCCGGCCCAGCTGCTGCAAGCCCTCCTCTTCCGTGTCCCTGTTATGCAGCCCTGCCTGCCCCCGCCCAGCCTGCTGTGGGCTCTCCCTGAGTCAGAAGTCCTGCTGCTGACCAGCTGCTTCTCCTCTGGGTCCTTTTTTCCTCATGGCTCCACCATCCTGTGACCCCACCCAGCCCCTCCTGCCCCTTACTCACCCCTCCTCCCTGGCGCTGTATCCCCCATGTCTTCCTCCAGTGCTGCTTGCCTGAGGATGAACCCCTCATCCCTGCATCCCCTCCGTGTGCCCTGTAGTTCTGGTCCTTAATGGGCTGTTCTGATAAAGTGCTGGGCATTCTGAGTCTTAATCAAGTTGGCCCTGTCCCTCTGGCCACTGTCTGGACACAGAGGCTGGGGTCACATGAGGCCATGTGGCACAGGTTTTGGTGGCCCTCCAGTTCAGCTCCCTTTGGTCTGTGGACCTGCAGCCCTTCCCAGGGAAGGTACCACTTAGTCCTAGCCAGGTCTGGAGCGAAACTGGCTTCCCGAGTTCTGTACACCACACGTAGCCTTCCCTACCCACACCTGTTCCCAGGACGGAGCCCTGCCCATTAGCAGGAGGCCTTTGCTTCCTGGTGCTGGGATTCTCCATGTGCACCCTACTTGGAAACAGGATTGTCAGTGGGGTTTGGAGGCACAGTCTGATGTAGCACTTTGGGAGGCTGAGGCAGGAGGTTTGCAAGTTTGAGTCCAGCCTGGGGAACTTAGTGACTTAGTGAGACCCTGCCTCACAATAAATAGGAAAGTCAGCTGGGGAAGGCACTCAGTGAAAAAGTTGTGGGTTTGATTCCCAGGACCACAGCCAAGGCCTTCAGTGTCAGGAAATCACTTTAAGGAAGCATGAAAAAGAAGCAGAACTCTGAAGAGATGAAAACTCATGCCCATGGAAAGGCAGGGCTGTTCTGAGTTCCCCGACCTGCAGGGACATGGTCTGAGACATGCAGCCCTCCGTGGGGTCAGGACTAGCGGACTGTGCCGAGCCCACAGCCCTGTGGCCCACCCACCCGGAGCAGCCAGAGTCCACTTTACTACTGTGCACAGGAAAAAACTAACAGCAATGACTCACACAAAGTAGAAGGGTGACAACGGTATGCTCTAATAAAATGTGGAATCTGAACTGCTTATTTCTGGAATCTTCCGTTTAATATTTCAAACTGTAGTCGACAGCAGGTAACTGAACTATGGAAAGTGAAACCCGAAGATACGGATGGGATGGGCTGCTGTGCTCTCCCAAAGGAGAAAGGACGCCATGAAAGAAAAGGAGGAGAGGAGACAGAGACGGGGGTGGAGCTGGGGAGGCAGCAGCCAGGTTCCTGGGGGCGGAAGCAGGGCACTCTGGGCGAAGAGGGCGATACCCCCGCCAGCCGTGACCGAAAGGGTTGCTTCCGCACAGCAAGTTAAAACGGGCACCATGAACAGGACATACCAAAGGCAAGAGGAGGACCACGAAAAGTTCTGCTAGGAAATAATTTAAAATTTAATCTAACAGTCGAGGGAGGAATTTTAACAGACTTAAATATTAGTAAGTGAAATATAAAACAAAAGATCCATAGAATTTTAGAAGCTCTGGCAGATCTAATAAAATAATACACACATTAGAAGTCAAAAAATGAATATGCTCGTAATTCATAGATTCTGGTTTTCAACAAGTAGTATATGTATGTTTATTTTAAAAGTTTAAAATGTAAACAAACTGTACCATATTACAAAAATGTAGATTACTGAACCGGGGATCTAGCTCTGTGGCAGGGCGCTTGCCTAGCAGGTGTGAAGCCCTGGGTTTAATCCCCAGCACATAAAAAAAAAAAATTTTTTTATATATATATTTATACATATATATATATTTATTTATACATATATATATGTATACACACACACTAACAAGGTGTAAATTTTAATACAATGACATATAAGAAAATATTGAAAGGGTATTTAAAGATCTGAATCTTCAAAATACAGAGATTCAGATGGTTTTAAATGCACACACCATGAGTGTTCAGTATACAGACCATTCCTGAGCTCCTTTAAACACTCCAGAGGTCAGGGTGGTGGTGGGCAGTATAGACTGTACTCACTTAAACATATACAGTAACAGATTCTACATGAAATTGTGGGAAACAGTATGTAGGTCCCTCAGAAACTAAAGCCATAGCACTCCTGTGTGGGCAGATGTACGTCCAAAGGAAGGGAAGTCAGAAGCCCAAAGAGATGTTGTCACTGCAGCACCGCGTTGGACCACCAAGACATGGACTCCACCTGAGACCCACAGTGGATAAAGAAGATGCGGTATGGATATGCACTGTTCGCCTCCGACAAGAAGGAAATCCCTACATTTGGGAGCGCGGAGGGATCTGGAGCACATTAGAGGAAGTGGGAGAAGCCAGGGACAACACTGAGTGCCCTCACTTTCTGTGGAATCTAAAGGTGGCAAACTCACAGTTGCAGAGAGAGGAGTGGAGACCACCAGGGGATTGGGTGGGAAGGATGGGGGAGGTCAAGGCAGGGTCAAGGGTCCAGCTGTGCAGAGTTTGTATGTTTTGGAGATCCACTGCTCTGTGCAGCAACTGTAGGGAACAACGTGGCACCAGATCCTTGTCATGTGCTGCGAGGAGTGGAGAACTTAGTGGTATCGCCATGTGCAAGACGTCGCTAAGTAAGGGATGGGTATGAGGGTTAGCTAGGCGGTGTTCACTATTATCCTGTGCTGTGTACATGAAGATCAGCACACCATGCATCTTACCCATATATTTTAACTTTCCAATTACACCTCAGTGAACCTTGAAAGAAAAGAACGATGCATCGTTCCCAAGTAGAGCACAGTGTGCACATTAGAATTGGCATGATTAACAATGCAGGACAATAGCAGAGAAGCCAGCAGAATTCTGTGTTCCACTGTGGACTCACACACACACACACACACACACACACACACACACACACACACACACACATTTCAACTTGCTCTACTCAACAGCCTAGGGCACAACTCTTGGTCAGCTGGCAGCAGAACTTGTGAGAAGAAGACCATGCCTGCATCCAGCCAGTTGGTACCTGCTTGGTGGCTGGTGACCACCATGGAAGATGCCTACCCTGGCCCCAGAAACAAGCCTAGCTGGGACTCAGCCCCTGGCCAGGGAAATGGGAATGAAATAGAGAGGAAGTCCACCTGTGCACGTCCTGTATAGGTGACATGGTGTCTGCCCGCCAGCATCCAGCGTTTGCCTGTGGCCTGGCCCTCACACCTGCCCAGCCAGTACCAGCTGCTTGCTATGTCCCACCTCACTCAGATGCCCAGCCAGTGATGACCACTTCATCTCTGCAGGACCTGCCTGCTGGCCCCCAACCAAGTCCCAAGGCAGAAGCCTGTTCCCAGAGAGGGGATCCAGATGTGGTCAATGATCTGAGCCCTCAAAGGGCTGTGAGTCAAGAGAAGGGGACAGGAGGACACTTTGGACAGTGACCAGCAGGCCAGAGGCCAAGGAGAGCTTCAGAGGAACAGCATGGCAGATGAGAAGTAGGAGGCAGTGGAGCTGGGTGGCCATTCAACTGAGTGGATCCCGAGACAGCACTGCACCCAAGGGCTTATCCCAGAAACAAAGAAGGCTTCCAAGTCCCTTGTCCTGGCTCCAAGAGCACAGACACCCAGCACAAGGAATTCTCAGAAGCCTGATTCCTCAGGAAATCAGATAGAGGCCAACGTGAAACAGAGATGATCATGGCCATGGGAGGAACCAGCCAGCATCTGTGGGTTCTCTGATTTCATGGATTATCTGAATTTCCTCAGTGTTTTTGGCTCTGGAAGAATGAGCAGCCCTCCATGAATGGGCAGACTGAAAATAGGCCACACGAGGCTGGCAAGGCTGAGAAATGAGACAGTAGCTGACATTCTATAGTGACAGGATCATTAACTTTTCTTGAAAGTGATACTGAATTCCTCAGTTCCAGAAGGTGGCTTAAACTCCTGGGTTACCATTAATAACAACAGAGAGAATGTTTAAAGGGGTATAAGAAAAATAAATTGAAGTTGTATAAAAACAAGCCATGGACCCAGCAGGATCCTTTGTGTGTTATAGATTGGAGAGGTGGAGTAGGGCCCCAAGACAAAAAAACAAAATAATGTGGTCCTTCATTCAGATGAATGGTAAGCAGACCTTTTCTAAAGCCCTGGGAAACAAGTGGCTTAAAAATGGGGAAAAACTTTAAAAAACTCAAGTAACATCATTGGTGTTAGTGGAGAACATATTCCATCCACATCACAAGGCAAAATCAAGCTGCCATGAAAAAGAAACAATCAGAAATAATTTTTGAAAATTAAAAGATTACAAACTCATATGTCAATGTTGGGCCAAATAATAGGGTAGAAATGGCCAAAGATTGGAATGTAGTCTTAAAAATAAGATGAAGAGGGCCGGGGATTTAGCTCAGCGGTTCAGTGGCCTGCCTCACAAGCACAAAGACCCGAGTTCAATCCCCAGTACCACAAAAAAAAAAAAAAAAAAAAAAAAAAAAGAAAAAAAATAAAAAAAAAAAAAAAAAAAAAAAAAAAAAAAAAGATGAAGACAGTCTCCTAGAGAAGAGAGCAAGGAATAAATATGAGGGAAATGAGGGAAGAATTAAGAACTATGAAAACTAGCCCAGAAGCTCTGATGTCTAGATTCACAGCAAGAAGGGCCAGGGAAGAGGAAATTATTTTTAAAACACTACAAAGCACTTCCTGAGATGAGTCTTTATTTTGAGATGTTCAGTGAGTTCCAACCACTGAGTAAAATAACACAGTTTTAAAAACAAATAGATGATATTCTTGAACAAGGATGAAGAAAGAAAACCAAACACTTCTAAAAAGTTGAAAAACAGGCACAAATAAATGACAAATAACAAACACTGAACCCTCACCACCAGCAGAAGATAACACACACTCCCCACCCCCAGAAAGTAGAGCTGTCTTCATTGTTTTGAGGAAATAACTATCCCACACTGGACTTTTATACCCAGCCAAACTATCATACAAATAGAGCAGCTTCAATAATTTTCACACATAGGAGGAACCTTGAAATGTAAAACACCACCATGTACAAAAAATCTCCTTGACCTTTCACTGTGGCAAAATGAAAATGGGAAATATCACAAAGGGAAGCCCTGACTACCTCATGGGGGAATAGAAGAGCTGAAAAGAGAAAGCACTGCTTCACCAGAGATTAGATCCCCAGAAGGATCTAAGGTGACATGGATCAGGGGGACCTTTAGGCCTTGTTATCCAGTCCTTGGCACCTTTGCATTTCATAAGATATGGAATTTTTTCTTCATATTTATATTTTTAAATGCCTAAAGCAATAAAAACATAATAAAAAGCACATGATTGGTAGAATGAGAAGGGTTAGCCTCTAACACTTCAACTCAGCAGAAGCCTGTCTCACACATTTACCATGACTTCTCCAGAGCCAAAATAAGAGCAGAGGGGAAAACAGAGTCCTGCACCACAATTACAATTTTAATACCCAGCACTAATGAGGGACCTCAGCGGTTAGCTCTGCAAGTCAACAGGAAGGGTGGCTTGAGAAGCTTCTCTTTGGAACAACACAAGGCAGAGAGGAGTATAAAAGCCTGAGAGCCCCACAACTCACATACACTCACTCACCCTCCTCCAGCAAACCCCAACATGGTTGCCTCTACAAGGTCCATCTGTTCTAGTGACCTGAGCTATGACAGCCGGGTCTGCCTGCCTGGCTCCTGTGAGTCTTGCTCTGATTCCTGGCAGGTGGAAGACTGTCCAGAGAGCTGCTGCGAGCCCCCCTGCTGCGTCCCCAGCTGTTGTGCCACCAGCTGCTGTGCCCCAGCCCCTTGCCTGACCCTCATCTGCACCCCAGTGAACTGTGAGTCCAACTCATGCTGCCAGTCAGGCTGCACGAGCTTTTGCACACCTGTGTGCTGCCAGCAATCTAGCTGCCAGCCAGCTTGCTGCTCCTCCTCCTGCCAGCCGTCCTGCTGTGTGCCCATCTGCTGCACACCTGTCTGCTGCACTCCCATCTGCTCTGGATCCTCCTCCTGCTGCCAGCAGTCTAGCTGTCAGCCAGCCTGCAGCTCCTCCTCCTGCCAGCCATCCTGCTCTGTGCCTGTCTGCTGCAAGCCCGTCTCCTCCCAGGCCTCCTCCTCCTGCTGCCAGCAGTCTAGCTGCCAGCCATCTTGCTGCGTGCCTGTCTGCTGCAAGCCCATTTGCTGCACACCTGTCTGCTGCACATCTATCTGCTCTGGAGCTCCCTCCTGCTGCCAGCAGTCTGACTGCCAGCCAGCTTGCTGCTCCTGTTCCCCCTGCCAGCCATCCTGCTGTGTGCCTGTCTGCTGCAAGCCTGTCTGCTGCACACCCTCCTCCTCCTCCTCCGTGTCCCTGCTCTGCCGCCCTGTGTGCAGACCCACCTGCTGTGTACCCGTCTCCCCCTGCTGCTCCTCCTCCTGCCAGCCCAGCTGCTGCAAGCCCTCCTCCTCTGTGTCCCTGCTTTGTCGCCCCGCCTGCCCACGTCCGGCCTGCTGTGGCCTCTCTCTGGGCCAGAAGTCCTGCTGCTGACCAGCTCAGTGTTTGGCCCTACAGGCTGCCTCTGCTCCAAGCAGGACAGTTAGCTCTTTAGAGCCCTGCATGCTGCAAGGTCCATGAGAATCGTCCCTCTCCAGACTGGTGGCTACACAGCTGCTGTTTGAATACCATCCTCCCCCTTTTCTGAGGAGAGCTGACTTTTCCACTTTCTCCAATGGGTGAGCAGCGGGCCCCCAGGACACTTCCTCAGGAAGCTAACTTGAATCTGATGTAATAAAGGTCAATTTCTATAAACCAATAAAGTGTTTGTGTCAGGAAATATGGGCCGGTGTCTATTTTCTTTGCCTCGCTAATCCCCTGCGTCCACTCCAGATTTTGACTATGAGCCCTGTAAAAGCCAGACAAGGTGGACATATTCTCAAATTCCAATTCCAAGCACTTGACAAAGTCCTGACACAGAAGCATCTGCCCTGCCCCCTTCTTTCCTAAGTGGCTGCCCCACATGGTTAGCAGTGAGTTGGAAGAAGCAGCAAATCTCGAGGCCTAGTCACAGGAGCACCCCGGTGTCAAGAGCCTCCTGGTGGGTAACCAAGACAGTTGAGGGAAAAGATCACCTTATGTTGTGAAGAATCAGGGGGACTCAGTAGACCCTCAAACATGACTTCTGCTCAGGATCTGAGGAGGCACAGAACAAATGGACACCTGGTGAACAAACCCCTGGGGCAGGAAAATGACAAGACTGCAGTCTCAGTGGACCACAGGCCCTGCTGAGTCCAGGAGAGCCGGTCAGAGCTGGCTGGTAGCATCAGCACTGTACCAGTCCCTGTACCATGAAATGACCAGAAAAGGTCTTAGAGCCAAAGGAGAATGGAGCTATATGACAGGACCTGGGACAAAGTCCCTTCCTCAGAACTGAGGTCTACAGGCCCCATCCCACCTCGTGGAATGCAAACCAAGGAAGAGAGGAAAGGCAGAGCCTGAAAGGTCCTCTGCAGGGGACTGTGATATTGATGATGCCCAAAGCAGGCTGTGAAGAGTGAACCCCACAATCAGCTGTTTATGGAAGTGAGTCTGGCCGAAGCCTACGTGCTGAGGTCAGAGTAACTCACACCCAAATTCTGTTGCCACAACTAAAACCTTCTGACTAGAAAGACAATGTTCTAATATA